CTGGATGGATGGGTTTAACAACAGATTACATGTTGATGAAGAAAAGATTCGTGAACTTGAAGATACAGCAATTATAAAAACAAAATGAAAAACGGGGTGGGATCTAGGAAGAAAACAACCCTCAGAACTTCAGTGAGCTGTGGGAAAACTTCATACAGCCCAATCAACTTGTAATTAGAGTTTCCCAAAGGAGCAGGGGAGAGAGAAAACTATTTGAAGGTATAATTACTGACAAATTTCCAACTTGATGAACACTACAAACCCACGGATACCAGCTTCAAAGCACAATGACATGAAGAAAATTACATCAAATCACATTCTAAGTTGCTTAAAATCAGTGACAGAGCAAAAATATTAAAAGCAATCAAGAAATAAAGACACAGTTTATAAAGGGTGATCACACATTTCTTGTTGGAAACAATGTGAGCAAGAAAACAGTGGGGGAAAATCTTTATTGAAAGAAAAAACTCAAAAGCTAGAATTCTGTATCTAGGGAAGATATCAAAGATGAAGGCTAAATAAAGAGTTTTCTCATATGTACAAAAGCAGAACATCATACCAGCAGACTAGCGCTGCTAGAAACTTTGAACAAAGTCCTCAGGCAGAAGGAAATGATACCAAGTGGAAATATGGAACCACATCAGGGTTTGTCAACCACAGCACTATTGACGTTTGGGGCCAGATTTGGCCCCAAATTGGGCTATCCAGTGCCTTGTAGGGTGGTTGGCAGCATATATGGCCTCTACTCACTAGATCCCAGAAGCATCAACCCTCAGTTACAACGGCTAACGTTGTCTCTACACATTGTCAAATGTCCCCTGGTGGGAAAGTCACTCCCAGTTGAGAATCACTATTAGATGGATGTTTCTTTTCTTTCATATTTTTCATCTCTTTATGCTTTTGACCAATAATCTGAGAGAATTCCTATGCTCAGGCATTTAGTGCATTAATTCACTTTTTATGCCTATTCTATTCAGCCCATCTATTGATTTTTTTAAAAGTATTTATGTATTTGGCTGCGTTGGGTCTTCATTGCGGCACGTGGGATCCTCCGTTGCGACGTGTGGGCTTCTCTAGTTGTGGCGTGCGGGTTTTCTCTTCTTTAGTTGTGGTGTGCAGGCTCCAGAGCGTATGGGCCCTGTGGTGTGTGGCATGCGGGCTCTCTTGTTGAGGCGTGCGGGCTCAGTAGTTGTGGCGCGTAGGCTAAGTTGCCCCGCGGCACATGGGATCTTAGTTCCCCAACCAGTGGTTGAACCCGTGTCCCCAGAATTGGAAGGTGGATTCTTTCCACTGGACCACCAGAGAAGTCCCTCTATTGATTTTTTAAAAACAGACTTTTTCAGAGCGGTTTTAGGTTCCCAGGAAAACTGAGCAGAACAGAGTTCCCGTATAAACCTGTCCCTATATGTCTGACCTCATCTACTACCGAGATCACACAAAGGTAACTTGTTACAATGAATGAACCTACATGGACACATTGTCACCCACATGTTCACTCGGTGTTGTACATGAGTTTTCACAACTGTATAATTACATCTATCTATTATAGTATCATTCAAAATGGTTTCACTGCCCTAAAAATCCCCTGTACTCTACCCATCCATCCTTCCCTTCCCCCTGATCCCTGGCAACTCTATTGTTTTTAAACCTCAATTATATTTTATTTATTTATTTATGTATTTATTTATTTTATTTATTTATTTTTGGCTGCGTTGGGTCTTTGTTGCTGCGTGCGGGCTTTCTCTGGTTGCGGCGAGCAGGGGCCGCTCTTCGTTGCGGTGTGCGGGCTTCTCACGGCGGTGGCTTCTCTTGTGGAGCACAGGCTCTAGGTGCGTGGGCTTCAGTAGCTGTGGCATGTGGGCTCAGCAGTTGTGGCTCGCGGGCTCTAGAGCGCAGGGTCAGTAGTTGTGGCGCACGGGCTTAGTTGCTCCACGGCATGTGGCATCTTCCCAGACCAGGGCTCGAAACCGTGTCCCCTGCATTGGCAGGAGGATTCTTAACCACTGTGCCACCAGGGAAGCCCCAAACCTCAATTATTATAGTTTCTGTCCAATATGGTTTTTTTTTTGTTTGCCTCACCACTCAGCATGCGGGATCTTAGTTCCCCAACCAGGGGTTGAACCTGCGCCCCCTGCAGTGGAAGCGCAGAGTCTTAACCACCGGGCTGCCAGGGAAGTTCTGATATGTTTTTTTTGTTTGTTTGTTCTTGTTTTATGACTGCCTTTTTAAAAAAATACGATATACCCCCTTATTTCCTTGTAGACCTTTCCTGTATTGAAGACACTCTGAGTGCTGTATGACTTTCTCCCCTTAGGTGTGAGCTCTGTTTGGTGCATTCACTACCTCATTTCCATGGAGATGGCATTCCTCAAATGTCTGGTCTTTATTGGGCACTGATTTCGTAATTAAGACACCCTGTTAGGGCACCTGTTGCATCCGTTCGACTAGCCCACTTGGAATCGTGGTGGCTGCTACTGCTTTTAGGGAGAGTGGAGAAGAGACCACGGGTCCTCTGTGTGGGTATCGCCAGCCACACGGGGCGCTGTCTTGTCTCCGACTTCACCACTACACTCACTATATCCACCTGGAAACACAAACCCTCTAACCGCTGCCTAACTGGTCCAAGGGGGGCTGGAGATGAGTCAACCCCCTTGTCAGTGGTCCCTGGGCCTCCTTACGGCCTTCCATATAGACTTAGAGAATGAAACATGCCCCCCACCTTTGCTCTTGCCCTCGTGCCCGCTCACTGCCTCTGGGACTTCACCTCTTCTTTCTTTTATCTTCAGCTTCCTTGTCAGCTACCTCCCTTCGGCTGTAAACATGCTCAGTCTCTAAAACATTTCCCCTTCATCTTGTACCCCTCTGACCTCCTTCCTCCACCTTTTGAAGAGCTGCCTGCCTTCTCCACCCTTTCTCGTCCTGTTCTTTCCTCAGCTCTGCATCACCCCTCCCCCACCGTTGCTCTACAGAAATCCCTCTCGCTGAAACCATCAGTGTCTCCTGATGACTGAGTAGCAGCAGACACTCCAGATTTCCCCTCAGCTGCACTTACACTACC